AGCAAAAGCTTAGCAACCGACAACAGTAAACAACGTCAGGTACATTTTGAATCGTAGCCAGATGTTCAGATTGCGAGTTAGTTTGAATACGACATAGGCAAATCGCGCGTATTAAGCAAAGTAACCATTCATACGCCTGGATGGGTGCGTTAATTTCTCTGTCAAACTTTGCTTTCATTAGGACCACCTTATGATCGTTCATATCGTTCATTATGACCGTACTCTTAGTGTCCCGACTCTCGCGAACACAGTAGTGCAGGGGGAAAATCAATGCTGTAGCTTTTAAATTAATCCAGAAAATAATTGGAACAATTTTGGAACTTACACATAAAAGTTACATATCTAATCTTTCTAATCTTTCATGCTAAATACTGTTCAGAATACAATTGAAAAGAAACGAAGGGAATATACAAAAAAAGAAGAAATTGCTGCGGAAATTTTCACTTGAAGCCTCGTACGTTAAGTCTACCATCTTTTTCCTCTTCTCATTTCCTTCGGCATATTTGTCTTTTATTCCATAATCGCCTGCCTATGTACGATCGCATTAATTCATTAAATTTTTACATTTCAATGCAAGCAATCAAGGGAGTTGTAATAAATACAAAAACCTGCTCAACGATTTTAGTATAATTTTTTTTTTGTTTTCCTCTTTCACGCCTCACACGCATCTTCAAAAACAATTCTACAGAAATGCATTAAATGCATATTAGAAATGTGATTTTTCAATGAAAAGCTCAGCTATATTCCAAGACGAAACTATTTATGCAAGGAAACTTAGTCTTGAAGATTCAAATGTAGGACGAATTCATTACTTCTAGGCGGCAAGAGCATAATACCAACAATGTTGTTCCTTATTAACGCTGTAAAGTTAGGCAATTCGTTACCAACCAATATACCGGCAATGATCGCTCCAAATGGGCGTAGGGCAGCGATTAAAGCTTTTTACTTAGTAATTATTGTTGAATTTTTCATTTAAGTCGTCCTTGCCAAACACAAGGACTTATAAACTATCACGAGCGAAAGTTACTCTGATAGATACAATTCATTTAATTTCAATTTTAGTGATTAATTATTATTAACATAAATGTAAACAACAGTTCATACAAAGATGTTTATCATCTTGTGTTTGACTACAGCCGCCTGTGGCTAATAGGTGAATGCACGTATGTGTGGATGCGCTGTTGATGCCGATCGTGATTCATTGTAGTGACATGTGATGAGATACATTTACTCAGTTAGACTGCCTTCTTTGACAGGTATAATAAAATTCTGCCCACACTCATTACAAACACGTACACCTCGCGGGAGAGACACAGTTACTACTTCCGAAATTAATTTTGTGATAAGTGATATAACATGAAACGCGCAATACAGCGCAAAAGCATGAGCGACGGCGGTTTTGTCGATTCACTTTCTGGAGGCGACAGCTGAGACTGTGTTGTGTGCCCACTTTTCGGAAAGATGGAATCTACATTTTTTTATAAAACACAATAACAAGGGTACATATGGCGTAAATTTATGTTTATTAACAAGAAGAGATTTGAACACGCGAACACTGAGACGTGCTTACCCTGCCTATTCGGCTACCCTTGTGAAATTGGCCCATTTACAAATACCTGTTGAACTCCAACCCATATAAGAAAAAGGTATTATAATATGTATGCTATGTATAATTTAATTCAATATTTATCACAAAAATTGAATAAACAAAAACAAGATCATTCACGTGAAAATTAATTTTGTTACGTAAGCTTACGGCCCGGACACTCTTATGTATAAGGACTAGCACGTAGACAAATTATATTATTTCCATTTTATTAGGAAATTAAATGCAAAATTATATTAGGTGTAAAAGTATAGCGTACTGAATGGCCGAAATTGCCCGACTATGACGTTTTTACTCCTTTTTTTTTTTTTATTAGTTTAATTTTAGTTTTTTGCTAATGGATTACGTCTTGAAATACTCAGTTCGCCTTTTTAAAATGCGAAGTGATGTAGAGAATTTAAAAAGTTTTGAGTTAAGTTGGCGGGCATGTTACCAGCTTGTGATTTAGGAAAAATTTTCCTTATTTCATTTCATGTTCATGTGCTAAAGGTGGGTTAAACTCTTGGCGCTTCTGCATAACTTATTTAAATTTTTATTTCATACCTGTGGGAATTTTAAGTGAATGAAAGTTCGCATAAAAAGGAAAAATATTGAAAATCAGTAGAACCAATGACATGAACGTGACAGGCGTTAAGTGAAAAATTAAACGAAAATTCCTCTTCCTTTCTCTACATCTATCATATTAGTCGAAAACAGAGGAAACATATTAAAACAAACAAAAAGAAAAAGCAAGACTTTGTAAATCTGAACAAGTTTAACATTCATTCAAAAATGGGAAAATTTTTTCACAACTATTAAAAACAAAAAAAAAATAAAAAAATGCTAAAAGTTGACATCAGTTTAATGCAAGAAAAAAGCGATTATTTTACTTCCCCCGAAAACTCCTATTTGATACTGTTTTTCCATGTCCAATAAAGCATCTCCTTCGTTAAATGTATACATACAAACATACAAACGTCTAAATATATGCACTCAAGTGTATTTCAAAGCTAAAGTTATCCTTAGAATAGCCACTGTCTACACTTGAGAGACAAGTGCGATACTACACGTAGAAGAATTACATGTTTTCCACCAGAATAGGCTGCGTCTTCAATCTCAAGGCACAACTTCAATTAATTATTATCAACTATGCCACAATCTCAGCGTCCTTTCAGTAAACGCAGCTGTCTACTGTAACGAATCTGAAGGAACTTGTTTGCAGTATATGTTTCAGAGGGTTCTCTGATTGTAAAAAGTCTGTTGCTATTTATGCGGATTTTGCTAAGGCGTTCGACTCGGATCGTAAACTGGCTATAAATAAATTGTAGGAATAGGGCTCCCCCTCCGCAAAGTTTGTTGCATTGTTGTACGCTACGTTTGCTTTCATTGCCTGTACACTGGGTTCCATCGGACCACTTAGCTCCGCTGCATTTTAATTTATTCATAAATGACTCAACGTTCTGTTTACAATTTTCAATAGCACTAATGTATGCAAATGTTGTTAAGTTGTTTAAGTATTTAATGCTATCAAGATCCTGCACTCCGAACTAACTGAACTATCTGTCTAATGGATAAATATAATAATATGTCGTTTAATCTGAAGAAATGCAAATAACTTTCCACTAACTCGGGAGTTATCGTTGATCGAAATTGCAAATTCAAGGTTGAGCTCTTTTGCGATTTATTAAGCACAGAAGGCATGAATTCAATTATGCCTACATTGCCGAAAGATTGTTTATATCATACTTTTTACGATTATTTTGCGATATTCTGTTTTAATATGGCGCCCAAAAGGGAAGTATTACGCTTACCAACTCCTATCTAAGCAAAAACATTATTTTTTTATGGTCTAGGATGGAATCCGGCATTAGCACTGCGACGCTATGCTGATGATTTTAAGCTTGTACATCTTCCTGTCTTGGAGTCTGGACGGAGTTTCTGGGCGTTTAATTAACTAACCTACAATTATTCCCTTATAGTGCTGCCACAATATCGTATGCTAATCGACGCCGAGTTGCATGCCGATGTTTTAACGCTTGTTTCATCATTTCATAAACCCAAGATTTTAGCATTGAATTAAAATACAAGATTTCTTCTATGTTATTATTGCTTTTCTATTGATTTCTTTTTTTCGTTTATAATTTTCGTAAAATTTTACAGAGCAATCTTAGGATAGTTAGTATATATGCGCTAAGTACGTAGATAAGAAACCACATTTTTGCATAGGTAATACACGTTTTTTCTATGAAATTGTTAAAAAAGAAAATTTTATTCGAAGAATGGCCCATATATACATCTGGCAGACAATTTCCGGAAGCCATGTTAAAGAAACTGTCGTCCTTTTGAGACAAACCAGTAAACGAACAATCGAACCAAGCGCGGCTCTGCAAGCACGTAACGCATCGCACCGATTATAACCAAGAAGACTCGAGGCTGGCAAATAAGTCCCATTCGCTAGCGCTGCCCACTTCTGGGCTTCGAATGCGTCGTGATGATTAACAACTCGCTTGCAATATGCAAAGGCAAGCAAAGTTAGTGTTTTTGTCGCCTGCTTTTAGTTATTCTACCTTCAACAACTCTTTCAATTCATTAAATAATGGATGGAATGCTTAAGTTTGGAAACTTAAATTACAATAAAAACCTATGTTTAAGAATTTCTTTTATGAATGACAACACAACAATCACTTGATTTTAGTTTTTCCACTTTAGTTAGCCATTCATATATCAAATTTGCTTTATCGTTGATTTTTTATGACTTCTTAATGATGATACCCATATCATTATCAGCAGCTGCCTTAAAAGAATAAACTAAGACTTAAAACGTTCTCTAGAGACATAAATGTTAAGATATAAGTAAGTTCATGTGACGTTACACGATAGACGACAATCTAAAAGTCCTTGTATAGGCGAGTGATTTTTATTTTTTATGACATAAACATAACGAAAAGAAAGTGAATGTGGACTACATTAAAAGTAAATACTAATATGGGGGGGTGGTTGTGAGAAAAATATGAAGAAAATCAAAAAAAAAAAAGAAAAATACTACAGACTTTTTATGACCGCACTGTACACCACCACTTTTACCACTTTCAAGAAAACTTTCATTATAATTTTTTATTTATTTATTTATTTTGTTTTTTTTTTTTTTTTGTTTTTTGGTGATTTTTGATTTTTTCTGACATTTATCAAATTTATCATAACATAGCCGAATACGGCATAGGGAAAAAGTGATGAGCATTTATGGTGAAGTGTGCAACAAAAATTAAATTAAATAAATTAATGTAGAAAATAATACAGCCTGAGCAAAAAAGCAAACTTTTCTTTCTCTCTCTCTCTCTCTCTCTCTCTCTCTCTCTCTCTCTTTTTCATAAGATAAGAACATCTCTACTGTTAGTTGATTACAATCTTAGATGAATTTATTGTATTAACGTTTTATTTGGGAATGTTAACGTCTACATAAATATATAATATAAACAATTTTTAAATAAACATCCGTTACTTTTAAACGTTACGTTAAAATCCATAATAATTCATATTAAATGTAAAAGTTTTGCATAAACAGACTATTGTTTAAGTTTTAGGAAATATGTGTACATTACGTGAAAGTAATTTGATAAATATAAATAATAAAAAAGGATAACGATATTCTTATTTATTGTGGTTTTTGGAAAATTCATGATATTTTTCTTCAAGAAATTTGAAGACCGATTCAAAAGCTGAACATGAAGTCCACTCATGCTTATTGTGACCTATAAAACAATAAGAAAGAAAAATCAGTTCAACTTGAAGACAAATCTTTCAATGTGCAACATATGAATCTCTGTGATTCTATTTGTATTACGTCATGAAAATATGTATTACAAATGAGAAATTAAAAGTACAAAAAACGTGACATGCTAGGTAGGCGAAAGCATTTTACTTCATTCGTATGATGCAACGATAATAGCCGTGAATTAGTAAAACAAAGTATCATGTGTTGAGAATAGAGAGAGAACAGAGAGCAGAATGACAACGGTTTGCCATGAACAAAAACACGAAGAACAAATTAATCACATATTCGTAGTTTTCGGTTAAATATAAAAATGTAATTGTGATCTATGTTACGTGTACCAAATAGGCAGACGGAATTATTAAAGATTGAAGTGATTTCATGCAAGAAAAAATTGGAATGTGTAGCCACGCTGTCGGCAAATAAAAGTATGTTGCTTTTTAAAAGCTACTGTTCTTATATCGGATAATGAAAGGCGACGCAACATACTCTTAGTTAATATAATGTGTACGAAGGACACACCTCAGTAATCTAAGCAAAGATTATTATATAAACAATAGGTTTTCTTTTTCTGATTAGAGACTGAAGTAAAATTTAGTAATCCACACAAGTTGTTAAACCGCTAATGTGATATCAATGAACAAACAGACGAAATGTATGCATTTTGTATGCGCTATGAGTGTATGATAAAAATGCTTACATATCTCAAGTGGAAAAATGGAAATTTTACTCAATTACCTGCTGAAACCATTTTTATATTCCCTTTGCCTAATTCGATTTCTGTGTCCAGAGGTTCATTGCTAGCAATCCAGTTGCAAGTTTTTCCAGATATAATTTTTTTTACACTTTCGTTCAGTACATAGAGAGCTGCGTCCGTAAAGGCTATGGCAAATACATGTTTGTTAAAAAATTCAGGGAAGCGTTGAGCCTAAATTTATATATAGAGAAAAAGAGGGTACATAGAAGTTGGTTTTCCTTTTTTTATTTAAAGGTTTACCAAATCCAATGTGACTGCCCCTCCAGCGCTGTGTGCTACAATAGCTACTGCTTCAGGTTCACACTCCATTACGTATTTCTCCCATACATAAATGGCATGAGCAGCGGCTGTATTTAAGCCAGTTATAGGCACGCGCTTGCCATCTACATTGCGATAATTATCATTTGTGTTGGTTACTAAAATATCATAGCCGAGCTCTTGAGCCCTCCTTATGTAAGGTAATTGAGTGCCATGATCCAAGGAATTATTAATTATTAAACTGAAAAATAATGTAAAATTAGTATTGTTTTTCTTTTCGCTTATCATTAACTTTTAGCTAAAAATCGCTACAAAATCCTAAATTCATTGCATTAGAATTTAGAAAGCGAAGCCAAGCCAAGCCAAGCTTTCATTGGCAATGCATAATGCAGGGCAAGATGTGTCGCTTAAGAAGTTAATTGCCTTCAATAACAAGACTGAAATTGATCGAATCTTCCCTATTCACATTTCTTTGATTTAACTATACTTCCCCGAAATGACGAATCGATAATAGGCTCTAAAATGAGCGCAGAAAATTGGGTAAATCTTGCTTCAGAACACCACATCTGATCTTCATAAAAGACCTCGTTCGCTCATTGGATTAAGGAAAGTTGTGTACTTATTTCTAGTAAATAGCTAATTAGCTGGCCTATACCTTCTGTATCTTCCGTAAAATATAAGCTGTACGTTTCAAAATGCACAGTCGAGTAAAGAAAATCGACAAACCCAGTAACAAACACTTACAAATCCTATACTTTTATAAATATCAATAGTCTTGGCTACCTTCTTGCCCATTGTCCAGCTCGTACAAATCCACAGCCATGAATGATGACAATTAACTTTTTAGGTTTATGCAATTGCTCGGGAGAAGTGAAAAAAAAAGTCGCCTCTTCAAGAGGTGCAGTTTCGGGTATATAAGTACGCGATAAACCGTTTTTCTCTAATAAATCGTAAACGATGTCAGGAATTTGCTAAAAAGAAGAAAAAGCAAACATTAATCAAACGCGAATTATTCCATGAGCAACAAAGCCAAGAATTTACGTCAGCCAGCTTTTCGTAATGGGCCTGATTTTTCTCCTGATCTTGGAACACGTCAAATTCAAAAGGTTCATCACTTACTTTCCCGAATTTATCGATTTTACGCAATTGACCAGCTGCAAATTTCACAATGAAACCATAAATTAAAAGAAATATGAATTAAACTGAAGAAAATAAAGGAAACTCGATGCTTTACCTTGGTTGAAAGCGTAACCAAGTTTTTTTAATTCCTTTTCCGCTTTTGATGAAATATTCGATGTCGAAGAATATTCGCTCATAGTAAATCGTGACGCCAGCAAAATGAACTTTTTAAATTTAATTAACTGCTTTTGTTTATTGTTGTTGTTGCTTGATTGATATCTTTTGCAAAGGATTTTGCTATTGAACAATTTTTATTTTTATTTATCCTTTTTAATCTGCAAACATATCCTCATTAACTAAAGAGAAGAGAGTTCCAAAAAAAAAGCGAAAAATGTAAACAAGCCGTCAATTTGGGGTTGCCAAGCCTAAGTGGAAGCCCAAAAACCCTGATAAAGTAGTTCAATCAATTAACTGTAGAGGGCATTATACAACAAGTTGATGGATGTTTGTTTTATGCGTTCTCCTCTTTTAATAAAAATTCTGAAATATTTTTTTTTTCGGTAAATTTTTTTTTTTCAATAGTTGTTAATCACGATTGCATTAGTTTTCGTTAATTAAAATGAGTCCTTCTTTTTATATTACATATAACATTAGTTAAGAGCCGGCCGAACTTGATAGTGAAGCACTTGCACTGCCACTACTTGCAGCAAATAGTTGACGTAAGTTTGAGAAGAAATCCCAGATTTTACTACCTATTGATCCTAAGAATTCGAGAATTTGCAAATCTGGGCCCTCGTTAATCATTTCACGTTCCTCCTCGGTTTCGATAGCGGTGTCGTTATTATTTTCTTCATTATTCATTTCGCTTTCACTCAGTATATGATGATGACGATTCGATTGGCCACGAAAGGTATGATTAAGATTTCCGCTACGCGCATGATCAAGTAAATGTTTAACAGGTTCCAAAACAGGTATACTTTTTTTTACACGCAACCACGAACTTTTGTTCTGTTCAAAGTCAATTTGGTCTTTAGAACGAATACTGTTTTCCAATGTATTTAATTCTGCGGTTAACATCTCATCATCTTGGTATTTATTAATTATTCCATTTTCTTTAATTAAATTATTATCCACATTTACCGCAAATCTGTCAGGCAGTCTATGAAACATTCCATTTCGGGAATTTTCAATATCAAATTCAGCGTATTCTTGGCGTTTATTTTGTATCTGAAATTTGTTTTCTTTACTTTGCTGTTCATAGTCAGCTATACGAGAATTGAAAGCTTCGGTGGAAATAGTATGCAAGGCTTTACTGTTTTGTACAGCGATAGTCTGTAATAAATGAGTAACAAAATTAATGCTCTCTCAGATTTTCATGCTTACATAATACATTAATATTCTATAGATGAAATGTTGGCATTAACGGCCTCCTAATTTTGATTACGTTTATTTGCACGTAAATGAAATATTTTATTAATAATGTGTTTTCTTCCATATCTGTTTTATTAACATTTTGTTAATCAATCAAAATGGATTATATATATAGACTTATATTAAATTGTCAAAAAGTTTTCAATTTCCACAAATTCATTTCGTCCAGTCCAGTTGCATTCACAATATTTGTATTAACAATTCTGCAATTACTTTCAGGCTTAATATTTTCGAGGCGACTTTACGTACGTTAAACTGTTTCGTAAAATAATTGATAACCATGTCCTTATATTCTACGGAGTTAAGTGATAAATATAAAATAAGGTAATATGGCGGTAAGATCAAGACAACCTTTTCACAGTTATTTTAGTTTGTCAATCTAAGTGTGTCTGTTCGTCAGAATCCAGTTTGAGACTTAGTAATCTATGATTAGCTGCAAAACTTATAGATTTGGGTGCACCTCACTCGAAACCCCATTAAATCTCATAGCCGTAACAAGCTCCCACAAGTTTTAGCTAATGATGGGGTTGTTTACTTTATATTACTTACTACACTTTTAAAGACGGTAATGTTCACTATTTAATTTTTGGTTCTCACTTCGCTTTTTTCGATTACTTTTATTATCTGATTTGATTGTATAAATTATGTTTTCATGTTGTACGAGCGTGTGTGTGGGTTTCAATGTATTTGTTGTAGATGTAACGTCACTTGATGTCTTAACTTTATTTTCGGGAAAAAATATCATTTGTGAAATTTTAAGACAATGTTCGGTATTTTTATTTTTCTCCGACCAATCTTTGTTCGATATACTTCTATATACGCCAAGAAAATTTAATTTTTAAGTTAATTACTAATTGGATGTATAAATTTATTTCCTTAAATTTCAATCATACTGGTAAATTTTTTTTGGACTATAATATATTCTCATGAAAAGTAAGCGTAAGGTAAAGAGATCTAATCTTTACTACTAGAAAAGTGATATGTAATAGGTTAGGAAAACGTTCAGGTTCAGGTTTTGAACTCCGTCCTCCTATATAAGACTTCTTCATCAAGTCATAATTTCATTTAAAATTTCTATATTTTATAAAATTTTAGTAGACGAAGTGACACATTGCTCAAGTATTTTAGCTTGTTTTAGGTTAAGGAGGAAGAAGTAGAAGCAAGAAAATTATATTCATCTGTGTCTGCAACTTTTCCAAGTACAACCTTTGAATCAAAAAAACAAAAAAAAAAAATTAAAAAATAACAATCAAGAATATTTTAGCTGAGCAAGGCCGACCATTAAACATCCTATAGCATTTTGCCTAGTAGCGTTGTTCACTCGTTTTGGTAATAATGCCTCAAAAGCTACACACTATTTTCATGCGAAAACATACTTTTGCTGTGAGCCGGCCTATTGGAGGATTAATTTACTTCCCCAGAAATTTATTGTTTCTCATTTTTCGTTATAGAAAAGTAGAAATTGTAATATCTTTCCATATGAGGTATTGCCTTTAAAGTTAACCCCTATATATGTTGGAATCTAAAGGATAGATCTATGTGATCCAAATTCCCTTCTGTTAATTTTGTCGGAAAAGCTCACCGATCGGGATCGCCATTAGGCCGAACTAGGTTAGTGTGACTGATCATCATCATTTTTCATCAAAATCTCTCAAAAATTGCATGCTGTAGATACATACAAAAACACATGGACAGTTGTTAGACGGGGTTAGATCGATTCAGATTCTAAAAATAAAGACTTTCTAGCGGTCTAAACTGAATGAGACTTGCTTATCAGAAATAGTAGCGTAGCCATTTAACTCACATTTGTTGCCAACACCGTTATTACAAAATACCACATTTTTTTTTTTTTTTTTTTGTTTAAACTTTATTCCAAATAACGCGTTTAATTTTGGAGAAAATATTTCACTTACAGCCACACACCATAATTAACAATCTTCAACTGAACTGAAAACACATTAAGTGAAGAATATCAAGACAATAGCATTTATTGTGTTGATACTTGAAAAGCATAAATTTAATAAATTTGAATTCATAATGCGTACAAATTTTAGCCAAACTCTTCGCCGCCTCAGAAGATACCGTGAAGTCAGTATTTAGCGAAAATAACTTAAGAGCAACTATTGACTGCAATTGATGAATAATTAATAAATCCGTAAATTATTTATATAAGTACGAATTTCCTTTGGTTATGCAACTTTTGTGTTGTTATATGTTGTGTGTGGTAAATAAGAGGAAAAAAATGTCCTGAAGCACTCTTCTTTAGAAAAACAACTTAAAAAAAAAAAACACTGTAGCAGAAACTCACTGTAGCATGTTGGAAAACTGTTTTCACAAATTAGCATTTTTCAGGTTTTTCGACAACTAAAGCAAGCCTTTGCTTTTTTCATGAACTGTCTTATAGAACTTTTGAAATAGAAGCTTTATTTCTCTAATATTGTCTTCTTGAAAAAACGAAAAAAATTCCGACGTTATCTCTTCCGTTAGTGACAAAATTTTTCGTATATTTTATTTTATGCTAGAAAATGCAAATACTTGGAAAATTTTCAACTACATTGCAAGTAAGAATTTAAGCATCGTATACGAAAAAGTTGTATTCTTTTTTTTCTAATATTTATTCCATTTTATTTTTATATTTCATAGTTTACTAGAAGACTGTCATGTAATTTCAGTTCGGGACGTTACACCTCGTTGGTGCTGACAAATCAACCTCAAGGCCATATTAAATCCGAATTTTCTCGTCCGCGTCTCTATTCGACCAAATTGGAAAATGATAATCAAAAATGTGTCTCTTTGACGAACGACCGTTTAGAGCTATCGAATCCGCTCAGTGTGGACCGTTTAAAAGTCAATAAGTTTTTGTCTGTGACTATACGCGATCTAGCTCCTTTGTGTTGTTCTGGTGCGATGAAAATGTTTTTATTACCTCTGAGTGAAACTGAAGATGACAATGTCATAGAAAATGCTTTAGCTTCAGTATTTAAGTCTACGCGTCACCATGAAACATTCGATAACGTTAACAATGTATTACAGCAGTTATCAGAGAAATGTGAAAATTCACTCGGAAGAGAAACAGAGACGATTTCAAAAAAGACAAATCTCGTCAAAAATACTGGCTTAGTGCTATACAAACAAAACGAAATTAATGCTATGGAACCATTGAAAAGGGATATTAAAAATACTGAAAATAATTGGAGAAAGGATCCTATAATGTCGTTTCAAATTGAGAAATTATTAGACTTCGCACAGGTAAGACTAAGAAATGAAATCAAGAATGGCATTACTAGGGGAATTCAGAATGCCTTAACGCGTTGTGTAAGATTCGGAGACAAAAGCTCTTGCGCGCAAGCGTTTTCAGTTAGTTCCGAGAATTTTTTAAGACTCTATTCTACTAAGGCCTGCTCAACAAAGCTATTCAATTCTCACATAGTATGCATCGCAGAAACAAAGGCACCTTTTACCCAATTGCCTCTACAGGTTTGCGGAGGTTTTACAAGAAAATTTCAGCAAAAAGGCTCTTTAAAGGAGACTCCTTTATTTAGACATAAATACGAGGTTCGTCTCAAATCAGATAAATGCAAGGAAGATCCATGTAAAGAGGTTCAGGAATGCCCCGATACTTGCAAGAAGGAACTTAAAAAGGTCGACCACAATAAAAAATTAGATAAAGGAAAAGTAAAAAAGAGGAAGCCGATGGGTTGCAGCCTCGGGAATACCCAAAAGAAAGACGGCGGTAAACCAAAAAAAGCCAATTCCAGCAATAAAATAATGGCAGTCTTATCGAGCATTCCACGGAGTGACGTTCACGTTGCCCGGATTTCAATGAAAACTATTGATTTGAAAATTGCTGGCAAATCCAGACGTGTGTTCCAGGAAAGCCCTTTTAGTAGTAATTCGAACATGGATGACATTTCGAGCAAGGTCGAATGTACTAACTCGGACAGTGTCGTGGACGCAACCCTAGTTGAGAGTAAAACAGGTTATACAACCCCTAGAAGTTCAATTAACCGTTATTCTGGTCACTGGAAAGGATCTAACGCACGGGATGAAGGGGAAAGCCAGCGAAGTAGTTCTTCCGGTTTCAGAACCGAGAACAGCGGTTCGGTCTCTAGCTTCAATCCACCCGGGGGTGGTGATAGCTCTGGCAAAGGGTATTCGTTGAAATCAAGAGCCGGTGGGCAAAGCCAGATCAATGACGTCTTTGAGAACAACGATACTTGTATCGGCAACAGCTCAAGTCTATGGAGAGCATCGAGTGCAAGAGGGGAAGGTAGGATCCAGCGTAGTAATTCTTTCCCAGGCAGGAGGCAGGATGACAGTTCGTCCTCGAGCTTTTATGCTTGCGAGAACGATAGCTCGAGCAGGTGGCAATCGGCTAGCTCAAAAGTCGGACGACGATGTCGAACAAATGATGCCTGTGAGAAAAGCGATTCTTGCGCCATCAACAGCTCCAAACAGTGGAGAGCATCCAGTGCAAGAGGCGAGGGCCGAAGCGCATTTGAAAGTTTACCCTTGGATAGCAATTCTTGCGAAAACGATCCATGCGCAAGCAGTAGTTCATCCTCTGATAAACGCATGGGTTCCTCAGGCTCCAGGAGCCAAGGCAGCAGTTCATCAAACTGCGACCCATGCGCAAGTGATAATCAGAACCGAAGGCAATCAGGCAGTTCTCGAGGTGAGGGCAGAAGTTTACGAGATAATCTTTCCGCGCGACGAGCGAACGATTTTTGCGAAAGAAGTGACCCATGCGAGAGTAGTAGTTCATCTGGTAGAAGCAATAGTTCGTCAGGCCACAGAAGCCAAGGCAGCAGATCTTCGAGCTGTGATCCCTGTGCATTCGATAACTCGGACCGACAGCAATCCTCGGGTGCCAGATTCGATGGTAAAAGCCAGCGCGGAACTTTAGCTGCGAGAATGAGTAGCGATTCCTGTGAAAATAATGACTCATACGCATGTAATACATTCTCTGGTAGAAGTAGTAGTTCGCCTTGCTACGAAAGCCAGGACACCATTTCTTCCGCGAGCTGCGATCCATGCGCAAGCAATAGTTCGAACCGATGGCAACCATCGAATTCAAGAGGCGAAGGGAGAAGCGCGCGTAGTGATTCGCCCTCGCACCTCAGCAGCAATTCTTGCGAAAACGTTGATCCATGCGCGAGCAGTAGGTCATCGTCTGATAAACGCATGGGCTCCTCAGGTTGTAGGGACCAAGACAACACTTCATCAAGCTGCGACCCATGCGCAAGTGATAATCAGAACCGATGGCAATCATCCAGTTTCCGAGGTGAGGGCAGAAGTTCACGAAGTAGTCTTTCCGCACGACGAACCAGCGATTCTTGCGAAAGCAGCGACCCATGCTCAAGCAGTAGGTCATCCTCTGGTCAACGCATGGGTTCGTCGGGTTACAGAAGCCAAGGCAGCAGTTCTTCGAGCTGCGACCCCTGCGCATACGATAACTCGGACCGACGACAATCCTCGAGTGCCAGATTTGAGGGTAGAAACTCACTTAGTAGTTCACCATCGCGACATAGCGATTTTTGCGAAAACAGTGATCCATGTGCGAGCAGCGATTGTGGTAGAAGTATGAATTTCTCAGACTACAGAAGCCAAAATAGCAGTTCTTTACGCAGCTGTGACCCTTGTTCAAGCGGTAAATCGAGCGGGCAGCAAAGATCCGAAGGAAGAAACCAGCGCAGTAGTACATTTTCAGGCCGTAGAAGCAATTCATGCGAAAATATTGACCCATGTACGAACGGTAGTCAATCCTCTGATAGGAGCCGTATTTCATCAGGGTACAGAAACCAAGGCAATAGGTCATCCTCTTGCCGTGACCCCTGCGCGAACGATAACTCGAGCGAATGGCAATCAACTAGCGCAAGATCGGAAGGCAGGAGCCAGCACAACGGTTACTCTTCATGCGAAAGTCGCGACCCTTGCGAGAGCAGTAGCTCGTTTTCGGGCAGAAGCAGCAATTCGTCAGGCTACAGCAGCCAAGGCAATAGTTCGACTTCGTGCTGTGACCCATGCGCGAGCAGCAATTCGACCGGGTGGTACTCAAGTGCGAGACCCGAAGGCGGACTTCCGTGCAATAGCTCATCCTCGGGTGTGAGCAGCGAACGATATGAAAACACTGATCGGTGTGCGAGCTATAATGCCAACCGGTCGCACGCATCGCGTGCAATGTCTGATGGCAACAGATTCGAAAGCAATAGAGTAGAGGGAAAAAGTCGTAGTTCATCGCTGGGCACGAGTCAATGTAATACTTCATCATCTGGTAAGAATCAGCGCAGTAGTAGTTCATCAAGTAAGGGAAAGCGCAATAACTCCAGTTCTGGGAAGAGTAGTAGTTCATGCGCGGGTAAGAATAAAAAATCGTCGAAAGCAAAGGCACAGAGCAAGTCAGCCTCACCTCTTTGCAAAAAAGGTGGAAACAAAAAAGGTGGGGAAAAGAAGACTGATCCTTGCAAAGAAGAAGATAACAAGTCTGATGCTAAATGCAACAAAGATCCTTGCACGGACAAATCAAAAGATAAAAAGTCAAAATCTACAGATCTTTGCAAGAAAACGGATAAAAAGGATGGCCAAAAGGATGACAAGAAAAGCGGCAAGAAAACGGATCCATGTAGCACAAACGATAGAAAAACCGACAAGAAAGACAGCAAGGATGCCGGAAAAGGTGACAAAAAAGCGGATCCTTGCAACAAGGATGGCCAAAAGGATGGCCAAAAGGATGACAAGAAAAGAGGCAAGAAAACGGATCCATGTAGCACAAACGATAAAAAAACCGACAAGAAAGACAGCAAGAATGACAAAAAAGGCGATGAAAAAGCGGATCCTTGCAGCAAAGATAACAAAAAAGGCGATAAAAAAGCAGATCCTTGTAGCAAAGATGACAAAAAGGGCGATAAAAAAGCGGATCCCTGCAGCAAAAATAACAAAAAAGGCGACAAAAAAGAAGATCCTTGCAGCAAGGATGA